CTGGCGCCACTGGGATCACTGAGGTGGTGGTATATGGTTTCCATTGGAGAATGATTCCCAGATGTGGGCCTGAACATTTTCCAACTGTGCTCTGTCATGCCGCGATAAGCAACACTCTCACCTTAAATTAAAAAAGGTTTATTTCTCATTCATACTTCACATTTATCATGCGTTGGCAGATGGGCTCTGCTCATTGTGCCGGAGGGAGAGAGAGAGAGAGATGGAGGATCATGCAGTTAACAATACAGACATATCACTTCCACTCACAACTCACTGGACAGAGCCAGTCACATGGCTCGGACAAATCTCAGGAATAAGGAGGTACAATCTTATCAAGTGCCTAGAATGGGGGAAAACGGGAATTATTTGGTAAAGAGCATTGACTATAACACATTATTTCATAAAACAATAAGCTAACCTATTACTTGGAAAACCATGAGCTTTCTCTTGACAATTTCTGCCTATGTACCTCCCTTAAGTTAGGAAATATATTAAATTTTGAATAATAATTTGGCATTGTGTCTTGGTTCACAGCAGGTCTATGTAGAGGATTAGACTTTATTTCTATTTTTGCTCAACTTCTCAGTTTTAAGTAACACCATAAAGAAAAGTAATTAATTGGTGTTGTAGACTAATCCATATGCCAACAAAATGTGGTAGAATGCAAATGAAACATCTCTCCATATGCCTTTCTCATTTGTTATTCCTTATTCTGGTTCTTCATAGACATGTTCTTTGTACAGGCAGGCATCTCCTCTTCTAATTTATTATGTCAATACATTCTATTTTTGTTGTAATCTTCAGTTATTATTTTTAATCTAAGTTATATATGTAACACTTTGAAGTCAAAAGGGTCTACAAGGCTTGTTATGAAAAACAGTTCACACAGCCCCACCCTCTACTTCCTGTTCTCCACAAGTAATCACTTTCAACTCTTTTACCCATTTTTTTCATATCTATATCTCTAGCTTATATTGCTACTTCTTGATTTTTCTAGAGCATTATACACTAATTCATGGAAGATGAGGATTTAGCTCTAATGAACACCAGCCCTTGCTCCCTCCCCTCCACCTGCAAACACCCAGTTCTCACACCCCATCTTCTCAAATGAATTTTATCACAATTTTGGTGAGATTAACAGTCAACAGGCTTATATTTATATTTTAGATACATTATCATGTCCATGTAAATTATAGTCATGGATCACTTATAAAGTTTATCACAACCTTTCTTTTCCTGTAACTTCTTTGTTTTTCTTTGGGGTTACCAAGTGTCCTGTGTTTTACTGTCCTGTGTTTTTCTTAAGTTATCACTAACTTAAACACAGACTAACCTCTAGTTGAATAAATTTCTTAATTCATTCAAATATATTAGTCATTTTTATAATTCCATCTTTTTGGAGATAACTTTCTGGAACCTTCTAACTTGCTCCAATCTGGGTTGGCTGCTTCTCTGGATGTGCTAAATAGCTGTGTTATATATAGTCTTGGGGGTCTCCCTACATTATCATTCTGGAGAATAATTTTGTCTTGCTCTGGATCATTTACTTGTTTTCATATATTCCTCATCCTTAGTGTATGTCTTTATTATTTTTGTAGAGCAGATCATCCAGTGGATTCTGAGTATGGGTACATGCAAATAATTTTTTTGAATCTTGAATGTCTAAAAGTGGCTTTATTCTATCCTCACACTTAATTAGTTTGGTTAGGTGTTGAATTTAGGTTGGAAGTAATTTTCTCTCAGAACTCTAAAGGCATTCCTCCATTGTCCTGTTTCTGGTGTTGCTATTGGAAATTTGCAGCTATGCTAATTATTGATCCTTCATTGAAAACCTCTCTTTTCCCCCAATTCCACAAGTTTGTAGGATATCTCTTGGTTCTCAGAGTTCTGAACTTTTCCAGTGATGTATCTGGGTGTGTGTTTGTATTTGCTTGGGTAGGACATTCTACAGACTTTTTCTGTCTGAAAACTTAGGTCTTTCGTTAGTAGAAAACTTTATTGAATTATATTTATGACCATTTCCTTCCTTTCATTTTCCTTGTTCTCTTTCTGTAACTCCTGTTTTTTAGAGTTTATACTTTCTGGGTTGGTTCTCTAATTTTCTTATATTTTTCTTTCTTACCTTCCATTTCTGTCTGTATTTTATTTTCTGGGGAGATAGCCTCAACTTTATCTTCCAAACTCTTCTATTGAGTTTTACATTTTAGATACCATATTTTTTAAAATAAATTTATTTATTTAAATTAGTTTCAAGTATACAGTACATTGGTTAGACATCTATATTGTTCACATAATGATTCCCCCAATTGCTCCCTCCCTCCCTGGCCCTCCACTTAGCCATCATATTAATGCTAACTGCATTCCCTCTGCTGTGCTCCCCATCCCCATGCCAAACTATCACCTACTAATTCGTACTTCATTAATCCTTCACCCCATTCTCCCACTCTCCCAATCCCCCTTCTCTCTGTCCGTCACCAAATTGTCCACTATATTTGTGAGTCTGTTTTTGATTAGTTTGTTCTTTTTGTTCCCTAGATACCGTATATAAGTGAAATCATATGGTATTTATCTTTCTCTGTCTGACTTATTTCACTCAGCATAATAAACTCTAAGTCCATCCATGTCGTTGCAAATGGTAGGATTTCATTTTTTCTAATGGCTGATATTCTAATATTCCATTGTATATATGAACCATAATTCCTTTATCCAATTGTCTGTTGATGGGCATCTAGGTTGCTTCCATATCTTGGCTATTGTAAAGCGTGCTGCCATGAAAATTGGCGTGCATAGATTTTTATGAATTATTTTTTTGGTTTTCTTTGGATAAATACCCAGAATTGCAATTGCTGGGTCAAAAGGTATATCCGTTTTTAACTTTTTGAGAAGCCTCCATACTGTTTTCCATAGCGGCTGTACCAAAAATTTCTAATAGCTTTTGTTTTTTTCTGAATGTTTATTTTTTCTGAATCATTCTCTTGCATAGACTTGCTTCCTTCTAGTTGCTCTTCCCTTTTTTTAAAATAGCATTTTACTATTTTGATGTCAAAATAGTTTTCACCTAAATAGCTATTAAGAAAATAAATTTCGAAAGAATGATATTTTCAAAATGAGGTATTTCATGCTAATATCATTATTCGCTATTTTCTGACCACAAGTATATAGTATGGCCAAAGCTCAATCTGAGTTATTATTGCTTAATTACTGTGTCTCAGATGCTCACATGGAAGTATCAGGACATAAATGATACTTTTAAAAAATTTATTTTTGTCAAAAATTTCCCGATCATCCTGGTGGATCGTTGGCTCTCTTACTCACATAAAATAGTGTGAACTAGGGGTTAAGTGAAGGCTCTGTGCTTAGATGGGGCTGTGATGGTTGGGTTCATCGTAAAACTGGCTGTTTCCCTGGAGAACCCCTAAGGTTGGGGGTGGGGTGGGGTGGTGGTGGTGGTGTGTGTGTGGTTTTTGCTTAGAGAAAACTCTTGCAGCCAGGAGGGATATATACACTGCTATTCTGGGAAGTAACTTGGGTAAGGCCTAGGGATCTCAAATTCAGTAGTAAAATATATTCATCATCCCTTTTCCGGTCAGGTAGTCCATAGTTGTATGTGCCTTATCTCTCTCATAACTCTCAGAGACATTCTGTTTTGTACTTTCCAGAGAATTAAACCTTTGGTCCTCTGCCAGAGTGGAGAAAGGAATCTAATTGCTTTGTGAAGAGACTTCTGACGAAACCTCATGTCTTCAGTTCCACCTTCACCCCTCTGCCAGTTCCTGAGCTTCCAGAGGACTTTATAATCTAATCAAGTTGCTTCTTGGTTTCTACCTACTGCTGACTTGGTGTTCAGCTTTCTTAGGCTGCTAAATTAGTTAGCACTTAACATCTGCTTTCCAAGTAACAAAAGTTTGTTGCTGTTGTCTTTTCTCCTGTTTTCTTATTCCTTAAGGGTTTATCTTTAACTACTCTAACTGTTCCTGGAGTGGAGTTTAGGAGGGAACAAAGCTAACTGCTGGCATTAAAGCTGCCATCTTTAAATTAAAGTTCTATTCTGCTCTTCTACAAATTAAAGAATCACAGTCCCTACACATTGAAAGAGACCCCGAGAGAGTATATAGTGAACTCCTATCTTCAGAGAGCAAAGTGTATTGTTTAATTTGCACGAGGTGGTTGAAACACCAGGAAGCTGAGTGTCTTGCCCTGGGATATGCACAGTCACAAAGACAGACATCATGCTGTTACCTACTCTATGGACCATAAATAATTATCCTTCAAAGGTTTTACATATATATTTTTTTCTAATTTAAGACTATTTCAGCAACAGCTAGATCACTTTCTGTAACATCTTAAATCTGCATCCTCTTCCAGTGGGCAGATGAATTCTTCGTAGTGGAGTATTAGGCGTTAAACTAGCTATAAAATGTGGCTAAACATTTTATTATTTGTGAAGTTGGCTTAAAAAAATTTCGCACACAACCAGGTTTTTAAAGTTTTGATATGCTTTAGATATGCTCTTTTGAATGATGTCACAAAGGATCTTAGAGAGCAACTACCAAATATATCATAATTTAAATGTAATTTGTATAACTTTTTAAAACAGTGGTAAAAAAATTATTTTTAATTTTTAAGAAATACTTAAAACTGAAAAAAATAGTTTGGTATTTTTCAGCTTGTTTGTATCTTAATCTATTATTTGGTATAATGCTATTTGCTATATTTTAGAAAAAATCACAGGCTTTGACAAAAGGGCATTTGTAGAGGAAAAGACTGAGATTTGGATTCAAATTATTTTAAATTGATGCTTTTTTCCTCTCCCAGTGTAATACAGACCATAGCCTTAACATATTCCTTAAAATTTTAATAAAATTATTTTTGATGAATAATTCATTTTAGTCTGTAAATTTGGTCTGTAAAAATTTTAAGAGTTTTATAAAAAGCTTTAGGGAATGAATGACTTTAGAAGAAAATGAAAGATTAAAAGAAAACCATCTTTAAATACTTACAGATTCTTTTCTGCCCATAGTTTTGCTGTGTGAGCGGGAACGGGAGATATTGCTAAAAAAGGAATCCTTTTTAGTAGCAGACGAAGGTGGGGAACCAGTGAATTCTCTTCCTCCAGGCAAACTCTCAATGCTTGGAGATGAACTGATGTTTTTAGAATTTTGTCCTGTAAGAAAAATTAAGTAGCAACAATGAAACGCCAGACTCACTAAGCTACTGAAACTACTGCTTTTAATAAATGATCAAATATACTTCTTTGTTCACACTGTCAATATGATGACACTGTGGAGTATTAAAATGCATGCATTTTTTATGAATCAGAATACCTGCCAATTCTGTAAAACAATGAAGCACTGCCATAATTTTCTACATGTAATTTATACTACAATAGTTGAAGTGTTGTACGCATGAAAAAACTAAAAAATCCAATTTTTAGAAATCACAGGTAAAAGACTGGACCCTCAGTAATAAGATCATCCTTAATAATAAAAATTGGAAATTATTGTACTGCACATTATATTACTAATATTAAAAAATCAAAATCCTTCACCAGTTTTTCAAGAGTCTCTCTCCTTTTCATTAATTGCAGAACGGATACATGGCTACCCCAGCCTATGGCAGAAGCACCTGGAAATGGGGACAAGGTGCTGGTTCACAGGGCCTCTTTCTAAACTGGTACCTGTATTAAGAGTGTTTGTGTCTGGACCTCCAGAAGTGCTTTTTTCACTGAGAGGTTCTGGAGCCATAAAATTTCCTTAGACAGGAACAAGGACGCTAGTAGGTTTTTTGAGAGGGCAGCTTGGTGTAGAAGGGGTTCAGAGGATTAGCTGCAGCCAGACCCATGCAGCTCTCACTTTCACAATTGAGTCACTCCCCTAAATGTTAGGGGGACTTGAGGACCTGGTAAAATAACATGGTGTGCATGCATTTCTTCATTCGACCACTAGGAACCAAAGGCCCTAATGTAAGTGCCAGGCACCATGGGTGCAGGGAGACAGATGGAAACTAAAACCATTGTCAAAATCCCCACCCTTCAAGGAGCTTACTTCCTAGTGAAGGGTACAGACAAGCACATTGGTAAAATCCACATGATATTAGATGGTAGTAAGTACTGTGGAGAAAAGTTAGTAAAGGGGGACTTGTCAGAGGAAGGTGTCACTAAGAATTGAGGTGCATGACATTTGAGCAAAACCTTAAAGAAGGGGAAATAACAGCTTTACACATAATAGGAAGGAACAGCAGTACAAAGGCCTCAAGCAGGACCTTTGTGTTTCTGAAGAACAGCAAGGCGGCCAGAGTGACTAAAACTAGGACTGAGCCGGGAGCGGGGAGTGGGCGGAGAAGGAGATGAGGTCTGAGAGCAGGGGTCAGTCAGGTAGGAGTTTGTAGATGATTTTGATTACATTTACTCTGAGAAGCGAAGCCATTGAGAGCCACTAGAGGATATGAGCAGAGAAGTGACGCGATTTGACTTACTTTTAAAGGATCACTCTGGATGCTATGTTGAGAATAGAATTAGGGAGTGGGAGATAGCAAAAAACAAAAACAGGGAAATCAATTTTTGCCACTGGAAAACTCCAAGTAAGCAGACTGATCATACCTTGGCAATGAAAAGTGGTCAGGTTCTAGACAAAACTGACCAGATTTCCTCATGAATATATATTAGGGGTATGAGATAAAAAGAGGAGTCGAGCTTAACCCCAAATGTTCTAAAGTTAGATAGTGGTGACAAATGAACATTTCTCTGAGAATATACTAAAAACCATTGAATTACATACTTTAAAAGATAAATTTTATAGTATATGAATTTTATCTCAAGAAAGTTATTTTTGATAAAGTCAGTTTTCACATTTAACTCCCAGCTAGTGACGGGCAGGAAAGGGCCTGCCCATTTCCACCCAACACAGGACTCTGCTAATAAGAAATCTTGGCCGCGGAGTTTCTTGTTTATAGAGCCTTCTGCGAGGTCTGCATCGCAGTCTGACGGCATCCCCCTTCCAAGCTCTATTTCTTCCTCTTTTCCTTTCACAGTTGTTATTCCTCAATGAACCTTTTGTACTTCTAACTCCTTCTCAACTTGCAATTGAGGACATTGTTGCTGACCCCTGAAGGACAGTGGGAGTGCCCCTGAGGTCAGGGATTGTGAGGGGAGAACAGGTCCCAAGGCCTAGAAGATCTCCACGGTATATGGTCCTGGTATGTTGGAGCTGAAAAAGACCTCAGGAACTACCTATTAATTTATTTTCTGTTTTAAAAATTATATTACCAATAAGTAAATATAGTCTCACTGTAAATAAATTAAATGTGACAACTGCCTTTGTAAAACAGCTTGATATAATTCACATACCATAAAATTCACCCTTTAAAAGTGTATAATTCAGTGGTTTTTAGTATATTCATAGAGATTCTCAACCACTACCATCTAATTTTAGAACATTTTTGTCACCCCCAAAAGAAACCTTGTGCCCATTAGCAGTTACTCCCAATGCTCCCTTCCTCATGACCATAAACCCACTTTTCGTCTCTATGAACTGGCCTTTTCTGGACATGTCATATAAATAGAATGATACAATATGTGATCTACTATGACTGGCTTTTCAGATGGCGCCATGTTTTTAAGGTATATTCATGCTAAAGCAGGTGTCAGAACTTCATTCCTTTTATAGCCATATAATATTCTACTGTATATACATTTTATCTACTCATCAGTTGGTGAACATTCAGCTTGTATCCATTTCTTGGTTATTATGAATGATGTTGCTATGAACATTTGTGTATAAATTTTTATGTGGATGTATGTTTTCATTTCTCTTGGGTTAATATCTAGGGGTGGCATTGCTGGGTCAATATGGTAAGTCTGTGCGTAACATTTTGAGAAACTGCCAAACTGATTTTGAAAGTGGCTACATCATTTTATATTTCTATCAGCATTGTATGAGGGTTCCAGTTTCTTGACATCCTTGTCAACTTATTGGCTGTTTACTTTAGCCATCCTAGTGAGTGTTAGGTGGTATCTCGTGATTTTTATTGCAGTTTCCCAAAGCAAATGACTAATGATGTGGAGCACCTTTTCATGTGCTTATTAGACATTTGTATATTTTCTTCGGAGACATGTCTATTCAAATCTTTTACCTATTTTTAATATTGGGTTATTTGTCTTTTTATTGTTGAGCTGTAAGAATTTTTCATATATTCTGGGTACAAGCCTTTTTTTCAAATATATGATTTATAAAAAAACCTCTCCCATTCTCTGCATTGCCTTTTCACTTTCATAGTGATGTCCTATGAAGCCGAAGTTTTTAATTTTGATAAAGTCCCAATTATCTACTTTTCCTTTAGTTGCTTGTGTTGTCAGTATATCTAAGAAACCATTGCCTAACCCAAGGTTATAAAGATTTACTCCTATGTTTACTTTTAAGAGTGGTATAGTTTTAACTTTTGTACTTAAGTCTATAGTCTATTCTAATTTTTTTATAGCATGAAGTAGTTCAACTTCATTCTTTTGTGGATATCCAGTTTTCCCAGTACTATTTGTAGAAAAGACTATTCTTCTCACATTGAATGGTCTTGGCACCCTTGTTTAAAATTAATTTACCATAAATAGAAGGGTTTATTTCTATGCTTTCAACTCTGTTCCATTTATACATGCCTATCTTTATGCCAACATCACAGTCGTGATTCTATAACTATGCAGTAAGTTTTGAAATTAAGGAGTATGAATTCTCGAACTTTGTTATCTTTCAACATTGTTTTGGCTATTAGGGGTGCTTTGCATTTCTATATGAATTTTAGGATCAGTATGTCAGTTTCTCCCAAAAGACATATGGGATTCTGATAGACATTGCGATGAATATGTTGATCAATTTGGATAGCACTGCCATCTTACTAATATAAGATATAAGCAAAATATATTTATGTTGTCTTTTATAGTTACTTACATAGTTATCTTTATCAGTGCTCTTTTTCTTTGTGTGTATTTGAATTAATTTCTAGTGTCCTTTCATTTCAGCCTGAAGGACTCCCTTTACTATGTCTTGTAGGGCAGATTTGCTAGCAGTGAATTCTGCTTTTTGTTTGTGACTGTCTTAATTTTTCCTTTCTTTTTGAAGGATAATTTTACTAGATATAGAATTATTCACTGATAGTCTTTTTTAAAAAATTCACTTTAAATATGTCATCCTACTGCTTTCTGGCCTCCATGGTTTTGATGAGAAGTCAGTTGTTCATGCTATCGAGGTTCTCTTGGATACCATGAGTTGTTTTTCTCTTGCCGCTTTCAAGATTCTCTCTTCATTGTTGGCTTTTAACAGTTTGACTATGCTGTGTCTCAGTGAAGATATCTTTGAGTTTATCCTGCTTGGAGTTGATTGAGCTTCTTGGATATATAATATTTTTCATGGGACTGTGGAATATTTTAGCTAGCATTTCTTCGAATATTCCTTTAGGCCCTTTCTCTCTGTTCTCTCTCTTTCTTGACTCCCATTATCTGCATGTTGTTATGCTTGCTGGTATTCTGTAAGTCTTCGAGACTCTGTTCATTTTTCTTCATTCTTTTGTCTTTGTTTTTTTCAGACTGGATAATATCAACTGATATATCTCCAAGTTCTGATCTTCTGTCAGCTTGAATCTGTTACTGAACCTCTGTAGTGAATTTTAAATTTCAGTTATTGTAATTTTCAACTCCAGAATACCTCTTTGGTTCTTCAAAAAATCCCTACCCTTTATTAATACTATTTTATGAGACACTTGTCTCATACATTCCTTTAGTTCTTTAGACAATTTCCTTTAGCTTTTAAAAGATATTTATAATACCTGATTTAAAGTCTCTTGTAGGTCCAAGTGTCTCAGCTTCCACAGAGGCAGTTTGTATTGACTGCTTTTTTCCCCTGTATTTGAGCCAACTTTACATTTTCCTGTTACTTTGTATGTCTCAAACATTTTTTTTTTTTAACTGGACATTTTAATAAAATAATGTGGCAGCTCTGGAAATTAGATCCTATTTTATCCCCTGGATTTATTTTTCTCATTTGTTGCTTTTTTTAGTGACTCCCCTAAACTAATTTTAGTTAAGTCTGTATTCTTTGTGGTCTCTGGCCACTGAAGTCTCTGCTTGGTTAACCTAGTGGTCAGTTAAGAGAGATTTCTTTTCTTTAAATGCCTTGAATG